AAWKSCMAAAAAGAYACGTGGATCTTTTTAGATCCCCTTAGTAAAGATCTAATGGTCACAAGATTCAGTTTCTTTCTCCTTTTGGGCTTTATGATTTGGTTTATTGAACAAATGAAGAATTTCAAGGTTCAACAAGACAACAAATTGGACCAACTCTCTGGTTTGTCTTTTCAAYCCTTGTTTATGCTCACAGTAAGCTCTCTAACTCTAATCTCAATTTACTTAGATATTTGATCTTTTCTGGCACCAATGTTCATATTCACATTTGTTACATATACCCACAAAACTTATTGTTCTTGGATCTGCTGGCGAGAGGCTGCAAAGTAATTTGTCAAGATTTGTGGTGACTGTTTCGGTTTTTGTAGTGTTTGTGCTCACATCGAGTTACATTGTAACTTTGACTTCACTTTTAGCGGTACAACAAATTGCATCGAAGGAGGGGTGTATCGGATTTCAAGATTTCCCCCCCATAGCAGAAGGAGCTGTCTTTAACAGCTTGGAATTTGCTGAGGTCAGGAATTGAGAAATTAAATTCATCTCATGACTATGCTAAAGCATTAACTGAAGGTTATAGTGTAACCATTGATGAGATTCTCTACATCAATTCTGTTCTTGCATTGTATTCGGCTGTCGACTTCTCCTTGATAGCAACAGCATCCACCACAAACGGTTTCGGCTTTGTGAGTATTCTCTAATCCTTTGGGCTTGTTTCATAACTCTTTTAGAGTCCCGTATCGACTAGACTTTGACCATATTTTTCTCAATATATTTTGGAACCTGTTGGTGATTCTAGTATCATCAAACTTTTTGGTGTAATTGAGGTCAACTTTGAGATAAATGAAGATTCAAGGTTGAGCATTAAGACAAGTCTTGTGCTGCGGAATACAGACGTGCATATGCCCCCTTGAATCTTAGATCACCATACAGCAGGGTCAAGTAGGCATGGGAATTGGCCCCGACCCGTCGGGCAACCCGGTCCACCCGCCCCGGTTGGGGACGGGGATTCCCCGTTAAACCGGGTCTCGGGGACGGGGATCCCCGTTTGGTTCAAACCGGGGACGGGGACGAGTATCACATTCCCCGCCCTGCCCCGTACCCGTACCCGTATATATATATATATATATATATATTAATAAATTGATTATATTATATATTATTTATTTCTATTAAATCGGTAAATGGTAATTTCTATTTTAATATATTTTGGATATTACTACATGTGGTTTTGGATATTACTCAATATGTTTTGGTACATGTGACGTTAATTTTTTTAGATTAATTTTTTTTGTTTTCCATTGTTAATTATTATATAATGATGTATGTTTTTTGTATTAAATTAAATTCATTTTGATTTTAGATTTGTTGGAAAAATGTGGGATTTAAACATGTGTATGAGTGTATCGTCTCACATATTTGATTTAACTTTTTCTTACACAAACATGAAAAAAAAAATATCCGTTTCCCCGTTGGGTTGGAGAGGGGGATGGGGATGCAATCAAATTCCCCGGTGGGGATGGGGACGGGGATTAGTGTCCCCGCCCCATCCCCGTTCCGTTACCATCCCTAGGGTCAAGGGGGCTGCCCCTTGCCAGGTTCTAGGGCAGCGTCCTGGTGGGATTCCAAGGGATTGATAATCATGAGTGTCAGCTGATAACCATAACGTCTGCATCAGCTGATGTATTCAGTTGGTGCATTCTGCTGCTGACGACGCTTGGTAGTTCTAACCGTTTTGTTCAACCATACACCCTCCAAGATTTTATCCAAGTGATTATTACCACAAATCCAAAATTCTGACACAACCTCCTTTCTGTCCTCAAGGGCATTTTTGAAGTGTAATCTAATATTGTTCCACGTATTCTTACAAATACGAACTCGGCATGTCTGATGTAGCTACTTTTTAGCAGGGGTTCCGGAAAGGTTCACGGTTGGCTCGAGAGATGTCATTGAGATAGCCAAGCTACGCGAAGGTGGAACGTTGAATGCATTGGAGGATAAATGGTTAAAACATCAATCTTCATTGATGTCAAAGGATTTTTCTTCCTCATCATCGAACATTTTGATCCTTCAAGGGTTTTGAGGTTTGTTTCTTATCAGTGGGATGTCGATGACGTTGGCTCTTTTGGTGTCCATAGTTTATCTTGTTCGTGAAAAATGGTCTGGCAAAAATAAGATACTAAGGTGCATGTTACAGACATCCGTTGAAATACATATGCAAGATAACAAAGTGGAACCGGCAGTTTGATTTCAAAATTAGTTTCGAAGGATTTAATGCAAAAAGAATGATTGAAAATGGTGGAAAAACGAGTTAAGTTGGCCAAAAATATGTGACCCTAGTACTGTTGGGCGTGCTAGACCAGTTCCATGGGTCTGGGACGTAAGTTTTAACAAAATAATTAATTATTATCTTTATAAAAATTATATTATTAAACCAAATATATATTACTTCGTTATTGAACCTAAATTAAATTATAATAAAAATTTTGAATTAAAAAATTATACAAAAAATAAGAAATGTTAAATAGTTAATTTGATATTAATATCGATATATTTTTGTCAAATTTTTATAACATCTTCAAATTTATATTTTATTCAAAAATAAAAACAATATCGTTTTTTTCAAAATCACATAAGACCATATTATAACATCGACTGAGATAAAAAATAAAACAAAATATTGAAATCAAGATGTTACTCGTTGCATTGCACGAGTACCCTTCTAGTTTGTTTTAGAATACCCATAATCTATTAAGAATTAGCGAAGCGGTTGAAAATTGGCTTTGGGAATATGTTTGGATTTTTAGCAATAATTTATTGTAACGCGTTATGTTATATAAAAATAAAAGACCGAGTTTAAAGGGGCCTTAGATTGGGTTGACCTTGTAGTAGTAGCGAGCCGTCTTGTTGACCAATTAAGAAATTTGTTAGCAAGTGTACTTAGATAGTCATCATAAACCATGAAGGTGCAAGTTAGAGAAGATAACGAAGCCTACAATACCAGTGATGAGTTCAGACGTTTAATAATTAGTAGTTGGTCCGGCTCTCCTTGCCTTTGGTTCCAGCAAGCGTAATAATAAATTGAATGTTAGACACAATTTTGATTATTTAAAATAATATATTAAAGAACATTTTTAGAGCATCTCCAATAGATTCATCAAATTTTTATCTAAATGAAGAACCAAAAATCAATATCTCAAAAAAAAAATTTTACATTCATCTTCAACATATTCCCCATTTTAGAGAATCCAACATTGATCATAATGCTAAAATATTTTATTCATTTATTATTTCTCTCTAAATATTTATTTCCAAAATCTTTATTGGTGCTCTCACATGGTAATCATTTGAGATGATCTCCATATTTGGAGAAAAAAATTCTTCCATCTTCTACTTTCTCCATTTTGGATGGGGGTGAGCAGCGGAATCGGGTACCCACTTATGAAACCGGAACTGCCTTGGAACTGCCGGTTCCTGAATCAGAACCGATATGAGTGGTTTCGGTTTCGGTTCCTACAATACGGAACCGATTGAGAATGATTCAAGTTCCGGTTCTCAATTTTTCAGAACCGTTATCCGCCGGGACCGGTTACCCGAAACCGGCGGATACCCTGAACCGAAACCGACGGTACCCGGTATTTTTCAATTAAAAATAATAATTAATTTTTTAATATTAAATTTAAATTAGGTCAAGAACTTAGAACTCTAGATTCAGAATTTGAGATAAAATTATTCGTATTTTTTTAAATTGTGCGTTTAATTGGATACATAGTATGTAATCATTAAACTTTGAACATTTATAATTATAGTATGTAATCGTTAAACCTTCAACATTTGCTATTAGTCTATTATGGTTTGTAATCGTTAAACAATATTTGTAACCATTATTCCGTATAATTTGTATTCTTGTTTATTTATTTAGTGTTTTGGCAATGTTTTATTTTTTATTTTCAAATAACAAAATTTTAATATTTTAGGAAGCGGGTACTCGGAACCGGTTCCCGGCGGTTCCGGTTCCGGTTCCAAAAATTTAAGAGCCGCCCTAACCGGTTCCAGTTTCGGTTACCCGCTTCCTAAATAATAAAATTTATTAATTATTATATTTCAATTTTATAGTATATTGTAAATTAATAAAATTTATCAATTAATATATTTCAATTTTATATTATATAGATAACCATTTCATATAATATAAATAAAAACAAAGTCCGTCAAC